AGCAGAAAGAGAAGCAGCGCGTATGCGTCCACCAGGAGCTTTCGTCGACGAAGCACCACCCGAAGTTCCCGTTAATGCTAAAACCGGTCCCCCACCTTTACCTCCAAATAAACCCGAGAACGACAGCTCCTCTATAGCTCCAATCATTCCAGGTACATCTCAGGACAAGGAGAAGAAGAACTTGTTCAATAGCTTAAAGAATAAGTTAGGACCCAAGGGCTCTGGGGCACCTTCGGGACCAAACACTATTCCACGACGAACTACACCGACGGGAGTTGGAGATACCCAACCTACTCCAGAAACCGAGATAAGTGAGTGAGGTCAATGTTTGTCTTAAGGATGGTGTAGACTGACAGGTTTGAAGACAAGAACGTCCAACAGGCCATTGATGCATGTCGCCCGGAAGCTCGCAACCTCTTACATAACCGTCAGCACATGGATCAAATTAAAGAGGCACTCAACGAGGGTTACTGTGACGTTTCCGGTATGGAAGGTGACTTGGCCTTTATTGGTGAGTATAGACGTTACTGCAGGAAATCTATATCTAAAATCTGAGCAGGAACGGTTGAAAATGTTCGAATTTACGCCGGTAAAGGTGAGTATATTTGTCCACAGGGAGACTCCCAATACTAAACTTTTATAGATATACCTCAAGCGCGTGAATTGCTGCTTCAGACAAAATTAGGATCAATCAATCGCTTCTTGAGCATCATTCGACCCCTCAAGCGGGTCTTCAAACTCCCAGACGCCTCGCTTCATATCTTCTATAATCTCTCCGGACCAGTCATCGCATTCAATGCTAATGGTGCACTGTTCTTAAACCTTCGATACTATGAAGGATGGCGTACGTTTTATGACCCCTTTCTCTGATGAATCGGCTAACTTCTTGTTCCAGATGATGCTCAACTCAGGTCGAAAGACCCGACCAGAGCCTTGATTTCTTGGTTCTTTACTTTGGCACACGAGATTGCCGTGAGTGATCCCATCGCAACTCATGTTAGTGCATCAACTAATTTGACTGTAGCACAATCTCGTAGGTCCACATAACGCCGAACACTCGTACTATATGAACCAGATCTCTTCGACGCATCTGCTGAGCCTGGTTGACGAACTTCAAAACGCACAGTTTGGAATCACTCAGTAAATGACTAGATTCAAGTTATAATTTCCTTGTTTTACGGACCAGTGCCCTGTATCCGCGCATCTCTTGTCTAACTATTATCTCCTTGTTATCATACACCGACAATATAATATTTGCCTTGCATGTTTCCTGTAATGGAGTATTTCATATGCATTTAGCCTTTCCATGTTCATCGATCGAAGATGGCAGAATGTCCGGTGTTCGCCGTCCCAACACAGTTCAAGGTATCTGGCAGACTTTTCCGTTATAAATATTGATGTTTTATTACCAATGAACAAAATTTACATATGATTTCCTCTCCGTGAACAACTATATGTACCCATAATTTATTGTACCTCTTCAGAATCGACCAGGGTATCTACGAGCCATCCAGAAAGTCTGGCAGCGAAAGTCGATATTGGGGCACCGAACGCGAAATCAGATACCAAAACCGCATGGAAGGAGTCGTCTTCAATGGATTCGAGAGTTACCCTATTGTCTTGGCTCGCCACACCCTTCATCGTGTTCACCAGAGTGATAATGTCGTCTCGGAAACATTCCAGTTCACCAGATGTGATCATTATCCTTGACACAACGCTTCCGAGTCCATCCCACCACTGGTCTCGTCCTGCTTGTTGCTTGTAAGAGCCAATAGGTCGGATGAGTCCGACGCCTCGATCGAGACCGATAATAACAGGGTCTTGAACAGATGTATAGTATCGCCCAGTGACACTGGCTACCATCATTGGGCTGCTTTGGGTGGTAGGCAAGAGAGGCGTGCGGGCTATATAAGCATCCCTAAATCGCTGGATGATGCTGGGTGGTAAGGTGTCCAGCTCGGCATTGGTGGTGTATGAAGGCGAAGTGGTGCAAAAGCTCGCCCACGGTGAGACGAGAAGCATACCGGCAAAGGGCTTGTTTGTACCGCGGATATATGGTAAAGGTGGTAAGGTTAGTTCGGGATGAAGGAAATGGGAGAGGATCGAGGTGAATTGATCAGATTCATGGTTATTCCTGTATGATCTATCGTTGACATGGGAGGGCAGGCAGAAAGAGAAATT